GCTTTTTCGATGATCCAGCAGATGTTGGCAATTTGATCTCTCGTCCTCTGCCTTTTCTAAATCCAGCTTGAACATCTGGAAGTTCACGGTTCATGTGTTCCTGAAGCCTGGCTTGGAGAATTTTGAGCATTACTTTATGAGCGTGTGAGATGAGTGCAATTGTGTGGTAGTTTGAGCATTTTTTGGCATTGCCTTTCTTTGGGATTGGAATGAAAACTGACCTTTTCCAGTCCTGTCGCCACTGCTGAGTTTTCCAAATTTTCTGGCATACTGAGTGCAGCACTTTCACAGCATCATCTTTCAGGATTTGAAATAGCTCAACTGGAATTCCATCACATCCACTAGCTTTGTTCGTAGTGATGCTTTCTAAGGCCCACTTGACTTCACATTCCAGGATGTCTGGCTAAGTACCTCGTTAAGTGGAAACAAATAATTTGTCTTTTTGTGACAAGTTTCCCTTTTTTGTCTTGGCTTATTTCCCTTAGTATAATTTCCCCAAGGTTCATCCAGTTTGTGGCACGTGTTGGAAATTCCTTCTGAAGGCTGAATAATATTCCCTTGTGTGTGTAGACCATACATCTGTCGGTGGACCCTTGGGTTGCCTCCACATTTCAGCTGTTGTAAGTAATGCTGCTGAGAGCATGGATGTGCAAATATCAAAATCCTGCTTTTAACTTTGGGGGGTGTACACCCAGAAGTAGAACTCCTGGGTCACAATGTCATTCTATTTTTAAGTTTTCGAGGAGCTACCACACTCTTCCACAGCAACGGCACCATTTTGCAAGGTCTCCAGGTTCTCTCATCCTTGCCTATGCTTGTTTTCTTTTTTTTTTAAACAGTAACCATCCTAATGAATATGAGGTTACATCACTATAATTTTGATTTGCATTTCCCTAGTCACTCAGTATCGTCTATGTGCTTATTGGCTCGTCTTATATCTTCTTTGGAGAAATGTCAGGTGCTTTGTGATTTTTCTTAATTGGGTTTTCGTTGATACTTAGTTTTAGGAGTTCAGTATATGTTCTGGGTGTTAATCCCTTATCAGATATATGATTTACCAATGCTTTCTCTCATCCTGTGGGTTGCCTTTTTACTCTGTGGATAGTATCTTTTAGGCATGATCTTTTAAACTTTGTTCCTCTTTTTCAAGATTGCTTTGGTTATTTGGGCTCTTTGAGATCCCATATGAATCTTAAAAGGAGAGATTTTAGGATGGGTTTTTTTATCTTTCTAAAAAAAAAACCAGATTTTTATAGAGATTGCTTTGAATCTGTAGATCTCTGGTAAGTATTGACATTTCAGCAATATTATGTCTCTGTTCCATGAACACACAGTGTGTTTTCATTGATTTATGTCTTTTCTTTCTTTCAGCCATGTCTTGCTGTTTTCATTATACAAGTCTTTTACCTTCTCAGTTAATTCCTAGATATTTTAGTCTTTTTGAACGATTGTAAATGGAATTGTTTTGTAATTGCCTTTTCAGATTGTTCGTGTATAGAAATGCAGATGGATTGCTATCTTGCTACTTTGCTGAATTCATGTATTAGTTCTAACAACTTTTTTGTGGCGTCTCTAGGGTTTTCTACATATGAGGTCAAACATAATTTTATTTGGTGGTGGCGGTGGTGGTTTAGTCGCTAAGTCATGTCCAACTCTTAAAATTCCATGGACGGTAGCCCACCAGGCTCCTCTGTCCGTGGGATTTCCCAGGCAAGAATACTGGGGTTGCCATTCCCTTCTCCAGGGGATCTTCCTGACCCGGGGATTGAACCTGGGTCTGCTTCTTTGCAGGCAGACTCTTTACTGACTGAGCCACCAAGGAAGCCTCATTTTACTTAGTCCTTTCCAAGTTGGCTACCTTTTACTTCCCTTGCCTAAAGGCTATGACTAGAACTTCCAGTACTATGTTGAAGAAGTGAAGCTGGGCATTCTGATCTTAGATGAAAAGCTTTCAGTCTTTCACTGCTGAACGTGGTGTTTGGTGTGGGTTTTTACACATGACTTTTATTATATGGGGCTAGTTTCCTTTTCATTTTGTTGAGTGGTTTTGCTATGAAAGAGTGTTGATTTTTGCCAAATGCTTTTTCTGCATCAATTGATAAGATTTTTTGTTTTTTCCTTCACTTGCTATTGTAATAATTGTAAAGTTATCGCATTGATAGTTTTCATATGTGGAGCCATCCTTGCATTCTAAGAATAAATCTCACTTAGTTGTGGTGTTTAATCCTTTTAATATGCTGTTGAGTTCAGTTTGCTAGTATTTTTTTGAGAATTTTTGTGTCAATGTTCATAAGGGATATTGGTCTGTTATTTCCTTTTTTCTTTTCTTTTATTATTATAGTTCATTTACAATGTTGTGTTAATTTTTGCTATACAGCAATGTGATTCAGTTGTTCCCATATATACATTCTTTTTTATATTTTCCATTATGATTTATCCCAGGATATTGAGTATAGATCTCTGTGCTATAGTTTTCTTGTAGTGTCTTTGTCTGGCTTTGGTATAGGGTTATGCTGGCTTCATAGAATGAGTTAAAAAGTGTTCTCTCCTCTTCAGTTTTTTGGAAAAGTTTGAGAAGGATTGGCATTAGTTCTTTATCTGTCTGGTAGAATTCACAGTGAAACCATCAAGTCCGTGGCTTTAATTGGTTGGGAGATGCTTGATTCAATCCCCTAGTGAGTATAAAATCTATTCATATTTTCTGATTCTTTGTGATTTAGTCTTGTGGTTTGTGTTTCTAGGAGTTTGTTCATTTCATCTAGATCATCTAATTTTAGGCACACAATTATTCATACAACCCTTAAAATTCTTTTCATTTCTGTAGAGTCTGTAGTAATGTCCCCACTTTCATTTCTGGTTTCAGTAATCTGAGTCCTCTCTCTTTTTTCTTAGTCCCTCACGGTGCAGGTTTGCCAATTTTTTGATCTTTTTGAAGAACTGATTTTTGGTTTTATTGATTTTCTCTATCATTTTTGTATTCTCTATCTCATTTTTCTCTGCTCTAGTCCTAATCATTTCCTTCTTTCTGCTGACTTGGGGTTTAGTTCTCTTTTTTCTAGTTCTTTAAGTTATAAAGTTACTTTGTTGATTCTCTTCCCTCTTTTTTAGTGTAAGCATTTATAGCTATAAATTGGTCCCTTAGCACTACTTTATGTACCATAATTTTTGGTACATAAGTTTTGGTTCTTTTCATTTGTGTAAGTATTTTTTTAATTTTCCTTGTGATTTCTTCTCTGAGCTATTGGTTGTTTAAAGGTGTATTATTTAACTTCCATAATTTTGTAAACTTTTTAATTTTACTTTTGCTATTGATTTCTGACTTTATCCTCTTGTGGCCAGAGGAAGTGCTTTGTTATTTGTCTTTTTAAATTCATTGACACTTAATAATTTGTGGCCTAATATATGGTCTGTTCTAGAAAATGCCCCTGTGCACCTAAGAAGGCATATCCTATTGTTGGGTGGAGTCTTCTGTATACGTCTGTAGATCTAGTTGGTTTTGTATAAGTCCTATGTTTTCTTATTTTC